GGTAAACCGTGCACAGTAACCACCACACAAAGATGCCCCCCAGGTACGCATAAGGCCGAGTGGGGAGACAAAGGCGGCCGGGCGTGGTGCTGGCCACCCACCCCTCTCGTGTGCCGTGCCGGCCTTCATAGGTGCTCGCTAACAGCACTTGCCCCCTACAGTCTGTGAAGGCTACACGGGGCATCTTTGTCTTTGTCTTTGTGTGGTGGTTACTGTGCACGGTTTACCAGCGAGATCAACGTGAACGTTTCGAGGCGAATTATTTGTTGACGTCCCAAATGCAATTCACCGCACCAGGTACGCATAAGGCCGAGTCGACCTAGGGGAGGCCCAGACCCAGCTCCGATAATCGTCACTTGGTGTTGGCCGTTAGCGGGAATACGAACCCGGGGCTCGCCAGGTTCGGAGCGCGACGCGATAAGCGCGACACAACGCCGCTCCCCACCCACAGGCGCACGTGGTCTCGAAGGAAAAATAACTCAAACGCACACGCGAGGGCGTCATCCCGTTGTGCACTTTTTTATTCCCGCTGCAACAGAAAGATGTTACCGTGTAGGGCTGCGCACGGTACACCATTACGCCAGGTCTGTCTTCCTAAACCCCGGTCCTCGCAATCCACCACCAACGCTGCCCGCTGCGGATTTCCGCGTTCACAAAATTGACTCCCCATTCAAACGCAATTTAACTCGTTCCCACGCTGCACGCGCCCGATGATTGCTAAACACGCGCTCCACGTGACGCGCTAAGCAATTAAGGCTGTCTGCGTCGAATGGAACGCGCGTACACGCACGCTATGAACGCTTGCACACACACACACACAGGTGTATGTGCCGTATGTTGAACTTCTTTCTCACCGTACGTATATCCAAGCGTGATAATCGCTGGTGCAAGGGCAACAAAACTGTTCAAAGAGATTCGTTTTCGATTTTACATTTACTAAAAATATATATAAATATTAATTAGAATCGGCTTCCTGTGAACGCAGACAATGTTAATTGCTTAGCGCGTAACGTGGAACGTATCTTCTTTGGTTCTTTCGGTAAAGTCACGTAGAATGAGAATAAAGTAATACATTAATAAAACAACAATAAAATTCTCACGACGTTTCGGCCACAACACAAGTGGCCTTCTTCAGGTGAAAGGAACAGACGTGGAACGTACTTAACAATCATCGGGCGCGTACAGCGTGGGATTAGTTAATTTGCAATTGAATGGGGGGAGTCAATTGGTAAACGCGGAAAGCCGTAAGCGTGGTGGGGAGGATCGCGTAGACTGGAGTTTGGGGAACCATACCTCTGGTGGGACAATTCCATGTTACTATGGCGGGATTCAGTACATTTTAGTACAACCACATTCACCATTGACCTTTCACCGATTGTTGCAAGCCTGGCCAGGCGGTGGCGCAGTGACGAGCGCACGGCGCTATCAACATGGCCCTGCCTAAGTTAAATTCCTTACCAGGGACAGCAGCAACAGCAACAACAACAGCGATAAAGCGATAAGAAGTTTTTTTTAACCCTTTATGGCAATAAAAACAGTTTGTGTTAAGATGTTAAAACACCAAACTGAAACTTTTTGCGAGGAATCGTGTCTGCACTAACCGCCTATACTTGCGATGAACATGCTCTGGTAGTATATGATGATGCATTGTCTTTGAAACGGATTGGTCCACACGAAAGACAGCTTTCTTTAGAGCCTCGTCTCAAACGGCGTTAGACCAGAGGACGACGCCAAAAGGTGAACAGCACAAGGACAATGCCACTATCAGGGCATTGAGAACTCGGGTGGAGCAGCTACATCATGGGACCTCCCTTGCCAGTATCACAGTATAAGAAGAGGTTTCACCCTACCTGGCAAATAAAAACAATTGTGTTAAGGTGTTAAAACACCACAACTGAAACCTCTTGCGAGCAATCGTGTCTGTACTAACCACATGTATTTGTGGTGAACAGGCAAAAAAAAGCGATGTCTGAAGTTCTGAGCCTGCCGCCTGCCCCCCCTTCCCGCCCCTCCCACTTCACCAACCCGCACTGGCCAGAGTGGTGAAGTATGGTCAAACTCTCACGATCGGCGTACGTAATTCAACTTAGAGTGTTCATTATACATACAGTATATAAGTGGAAAGACAGATCTGATTTTTGTGTGATTAATTTGTCGTTGTGTGTAGCGGAGGGCAGTGCTGCAATAACAATTGTCCGGCTGGACCACTACAGGGTGGTCCAGATGTATTGTGACACCCCCCCCCCCAATTAATTGACCCCTAAAAATGTTTCTCCCTTTGCATATTCATGTGTTTTAAATAAACCTTACTTTAAAAATGTAATCAAGTTTTACAGAATGAAATAGGGGGGGGGGTCACAAGACAACTGGACCACCATGTACCTCGAGGGATTAATTTTAGCCGGAGCTGTCTGGGGCTTAGCTTCGGAAAATATCTAGCCGCTCCTGCCTCTACCCGATGTCAGGCTGGGCCGGGTGCGAATTGAACATCTCACGAGAAATTAAATTAAGAGCTGCCAATAACCCCCCCACCTACCAGGCGTCTTCAGCAACCACGCACTCACCAGCATGGTGAAGTATGGCCTAAGTAACCAACCACGACCCCCCCCCCCCCCCCCATATCAGCGAAGATACCCTTTATCCAGCAATGAATAAATGAGCTGCACGTCGTGCAATGCATTGCAATGTTGTTTTATTTCGATGCAATGTTGTTGTTTGTTCAAGGTCACAACACACATCACAGTTGTAGACTAAAACCGCAATATATTTCACCCCACGCACAAGTTTTGCCTTCGTGCGGCTGTGATGACGGCTGGTGGCAGCCCACCTCGCAACAGCGAGCCGGCGGCATTCATAGGTGCTCGCGAACAGCACTTGCCCCAAACAGTCTGTTGAAGGCTGTTACGTGGGGCGGGCGAGGGGGGGGGGGTCTTTGGTGGTGGCTGGTTGTTGTTGTTGTTGGTGGTAGCAAGCTGGTTGTTGTTGGTGCTGGTTGTAGCAAGCTGGTTGTTGTTGTTGGTTGTAGCAAGCTGGTTGTTGTTGGGGCTGGTTGTAGCAAGCTGGTTGTTGTTGTTGGTTGTAGCAAGCTGGTTGTTGTTGGTGCTGGTTGTAGCAAGCTGGTTGTTGTTGTTGTTGGTTGTAGCAAGCTGGTTGTTGCTGGTGCTGGTTGTAGCAAGCTGGTTGTTGTTGTTGGTTGTAGCAAGCTGGTTGTTGTTGGGGCTGGTTGTAGCAAGCTGGTTGTTGTTGTTGGTTGTAGCAAGCTGGGTGGTGGTGGTGCTGGTTGTAGGAAGCTGGTTGTTGTTGTTGTTGGTTGTAGTAAGCTGATTGTTGTTGTTGGTTGTAGCAAGCTGGTTGTTGTTGGGGCTGGTTGTAGCAAGCTGGTTGTTGTTGGGGCTGGTTGTAGCAAGCTGGTTGTTGTTGTTGGTTGTAGCAAGCTGGGTGGTGGTGGTGCTGGTTGTAGCAAGCTGGTTGTTGTTGTTGGTTGTAGCAAGCTGGTTGTTGTTGGGGCTGGTTGTAGCAAGCTGGTTGTTGTTGTTGGTTGTAGCAAGCTGGGTGGTGGTGGTGCTGGTTGTAGGAAGCTGGTTGTTGTTGTTGTTGGTTGTAGTAAGCTGGTTGTTGTTGTTGGTTGTAGCAAGCTGGTTGTTGTTGGGGCTGGTTGTAGCAAGCTGGTTGTTGTTGGGGCTGGTTGTAGCAAGCTGGTTGTTGTTGTTGGTTGTAGCAAGCTGGGTGGTGGTGGTGCTGGTTGTAGCAAGCTGGTTGTTGTTGTTGGTTGTAGCAAGCTGGTTGTTGTTGGGGCTGGTTGTAGCAAGCTGGTTGTTGTTGTTGGTTGTAGCAAGCTGGGTGGTGGTGGTGCTGGTTGTAGCAAGCTGGTTGTTGTTGCTGGTTGTAGCAAGCTGGTTGTTGTTGTTGGTTGTAGCAAGCTGGTTGTTGTTGGGGCTGGTTGTAGCAAGCTGGTTGTTGTTGTTGGTTGTAGCAAGCTGGGTGGTGGTGGTGCTGGTTGTAGGAAGCTGGTTGTTGTTGTTGTTGGTTGTAGTAAGCTGGGTGGTGGTGGTGGTGCTGGTTGTAGGAAGCTGGTTGTTGTTGTTGGTTGTAGTAAGCTGGGTGGTGGTGGTGCTGGTTGTAGGAAGCTGGTTGTTGTTGTTGGTTGTAGCAAGCTGGTTGTTGTTGGTGCTGGTTGTAGCAAGCTGGTTGTTGTTGTTGGTTGTAGCAAGCTGGTTGTTGTTGTTGTTGATTGTAGCAAGCTGGTTGTTGTTGTTGCTGGTTGTAGCAAGCTGGTTGTTGCTGGTGCTGGTTGTAGCAAGTTGGTTGTTGTTGTTGGTTGTAGCAAGCTGGTTGTTGTTGTTGTTGATTGTAGCAAGCTGGTTGTTGTTGTTGGTTGTAGCAAGCTGGTTGTTGTTGTTGTTGGTTGTAGCAAGCTGGTTGTTGTTGTTGGTTGTAGCAAGCTGGTTGTTGCTGGTGCTGGTTGTAGCAAGTTGGTTGTTGTTATTGGTTGTAGCAAGCTGGTTGTTGTTGTTGTTGGTTGTAGCAAGCTGGTTGTTGTTGTTGATTGTAGCAAGCTGGTTGTTGTTGTTGGTTGTAGCAAGCTGGTTGTTGTTGTTGTTGGTTGTAGCAAGCTGGTTGTTGCTGGTGCTGGTTGTAGTAAGCTGGTTGTTGTTGTTGTTGGTTGTAGTAAGCTGGTTGTTGTTGTTGGTTGTAGCAAGCTGTTGTTGTTGTTGGTTGTAGCAAGCTGGTTGTTGCTGGTGCTGGTTGTAGCAAGTTGGTTGTTGTTGTTGATTGTAGCAAGCTGGTTGTTGTTGTTGGTTGTAGTAAGCTGGGTGGTGGTGGTGCTGGTTGTAGGAAGCTGGTTGTTGTTGGTTGTAGTAAGCTGGGTGGTGGTGGTGGCAGGGACATGGAGTGATGAGGAAGAGTGGTCACGTGCCTCGTCTCGCCCTCCCGTCTCCTCCCTCTCAATGGGAGTTCAGCCCCCCCCCCATCCTCCTCCTCTCTCCACTTCCAGCAGTGGATGGAAGAGAGAGAGAGAGAGTGTGTAAGGGGGAGGGGTGGTGATGCAGAGCTCCTTTCGATTCATCATTGTTAATTCCTAAGCACTTCCCTCCTCCTCCTCCTCCCTCCCTCCCCCCCAAAAAAAATTAAATCATATATCCGTCTATACATTCAACGGACACTTACACTACAATACAACATCCAGATGTCTGTACAAGGAGCAACACAATAGGGTGACAACGACGACGACGACATTGGTAACGGAATTCGGAAACTTGACGTGCGTGCGTGCGAGCGAGGCACAAAGGGAAGACCAGGAAAACAACAGCAGCAGCAGCAAGCAAGCAAGGTCGGGAATCGGAAAACGACCGCGGAGTTTTGCAGCATGCCGCGCGCCTAGACTATGACCTGCAGCTGTGCTCGCAGTGCGCTGGACTCGAGCGGGCGTCCTCTGCAGAGCTGCGTCGTGGCAACATGAGCACTACGGGGAGGAGGATGATGAAGGTGGTGGTGGTGGTGGTGGCCGTGATGGTGATGATGATGACCGCAGTGGTGAGCGCTGCCCGGGCGGAAACGTCGACGGCGGGACCGACGGGCCGAGGCGGGAGCCAGTGTCAGGGAGCTTTCGATCTCTACCTCGTCTTGGACAAGTAAGGATTGATGATGATGGTGGTGGTGGTGGTGGGGGGGGTGGGGGAGCGGTGGCGCTAGTGGTGAGCGCGCTGCGTTACGAACCCGACGAGTAGAGTTCGTTCCCACACACGGCCATCGTCGATATACGGTGGTTATTTGAACCGATCGCGCTCGACTCTGCTTTAAATGAGTTGGTGCGGTGTGTAAACTTCAGAACTGGGGAGACAAAGGCGGCCGGGCGTGGTTCTGGTCACACCACCCCCAGTCGTGCGCCGTCCCGGCCTTCACATGTGCTGGCTATCAGCACTTGCCCCCAACAGTCTGTTAGCTATACGGGGGATCTTTGTCTCTTGATGGTGGTGATTCGCAGGGTAACTGCCCTATTATACATCCTGCTGCTGCTCTTCTTTGTTGTTTTCAATACGCGGGACATATTCACCGGGTCTCGGTGGTTAAAACCAAACTAAACTAATTTCATGTTACCAGGTATCAAGGCCTACCGAGCTATGTACTGTTGTTTTTTTTTTCACAAGCGTCCTGGCCACAAATGATAGATAGCTCAACAAAGTGGCTTATTACGTGGACATTTAGAGCAGCCCAAAACAACTCTTAAACGCGTGTTGAGTCTCAACGTGGAGGCAAAAACCGGAGTGCCCCGAGAAAAACAAACCAATCCATGGGTCGGGATCGAACCCACAAGCTCCTGTGTACCAGGCGAGGTGGCTCGCTTCTCGCCAGCGTTAACGGGACGCTGGAGATGTTGCGCTGGGGCGTTCAGCGAGGCCTGACTATACTGAGTCAAGCCAATGGATTGGGTGGTAGTGGTGGAGTTTCCACATTCCTATGCTTGGTATCAAGTTATCGTCATATTGATGTAAACTACATTATTACATCATGGGATCTGCTTTGCCAGTACCAAAATATGATAAGTTCACCTTTTGGTGTCTTCTGGTCTAACACCGTTTGAGACGAGGCTCAAAAGAAAGCTGTCTCTGGTGTGGACCAATCAGTTTCAAGGACAATGCATATATTGTAAGTTAAAAGGGTAAAACCTATTACTAGATCTTGTTACTGGCAAAGGAGGTCTCATAATGCATATATTATCAGAGTGTTTTTGTTTGCATTCTGACCACAAGCATTGTGGTTAATGCAGACATGATTCCTTGTAAAAGGTTTTAGTTTGGTGTTTTAATCATCTTAACACCTGTTTTGTTGCCAGAAAAAAAGGGGAAAAACTTATTATCATGCATTAGTATTGTTATTGTCACAGTGGTGGTCATTAATGTGGTTGCGTATTACGAGATGATTTTTTTAAATGGACGTGTCAATTTCAACCATATATGTGACATCATCCGTCAGATCTGGGAAGTTAAGCAGGGTTGAGCCTGGATAGTGCTTGGATGGGCAACCAGCTTGGCTGCTCATAGGCTGCTGCGTTGATTGTGGTGGACGGGAAACAGCAGTGCAACAAAGTCCATTGTTGTACAGTACTCTGCTTATGAGCTCCCGTGCCTAAGCTCCCCTTCCTTCACCAGCATGCACTAACCAGTGTGGTGAAGTGTGGTCAATTACCCCCCACGACCCCCACGTGGTTGTGTACTCGCAAATGTTTGACCCAGTTTTGTGTTGGCTGCCTCGTCCAAGTCTTTGGATGCTTGTGTCTTGGACATGCAAGCCCTCATCCAGCAGTGGATTTTCGATTTGCTACTTGCGCAATGCACGGATGCTTTTGTTTCTAATTAAGAAAAAAAAACGGTATACTGTACAAGGAATGTTGTAAATATTTGAATACAGTGCTTCAGTTTAGCTTGCAACCAAATCGGGCTTGTTGAATCTGAGAAGCTAAGCAGGTAAAGCCTGCTAAGTAATGTACTTGCCATGGGTGACAAACCAAGGCTTCCCAGGTGTTGTATAGGCATGGGACTGCAAGGTAACGTCAGGAGGTGGCTGTGTTGAGTGTAACCCCAGTCTGGTGAAGCCAAACTCGCATGAATGGATTTGGCCAAACATCCAAATGATGGCAGGACCCTGCTGAAAACAACTCTTGAGGCTCCGTGAGGCTTTCCTGCATGAATGCCATTTAAAATGTGATCACTAAATGATATATCAAGTACAGTACTGTTGTATTCTATTTTATTGTCATTATTTTTATTTTTTATTCACACTTTTTATTCTATCTACGTGACTTTACCGAAAGAACCAAAAAATATAGCGCTGCTGTATAGCACAATAATAGAGTGGTATAATATGTTTTTATCTTCAGATAAATGCAACGTTACATTTCCTATGTAACGTATACTCAGTAACTTAATACCCAAGTGTTTCTGTTGATTATCAGATATTGCCAGACTGATTTGTAATAAGGCACAAGTAAAATGTGGTTTGGCAGTACTGGCCCTGCCTGTGCAAAATGGCACAGCGCTTGCTCTGATTCTTTTCGGTGATGTAATTCAACAAAACCGAAATGTCATCGTAAAAGTTGGAACCGTTTGACGACTTGCGGCGAGGCTGCATGGTTTTCATTTCGGCAGCGATGGCACTTTTAGAGCAATGAGACACTCGAAATGTAATTCATGAAAGATTGAATCGTAACGCTTTCCTTAATCGTTCAAACCCATTTTTCCGCTGGCAGTTTATCTAAATTTAAGAGGACATCGCATTGATTCAAGAAATCTGATGATATTTAATTGTCTTGTGGCCTCTTTCCTCCCATTGGAGTTTCAGTCATTGATGGAATTAATACAGGATGGAGCTCTTGGTGACCTTATTATGCAAATTAATACGAAAAATATAAAGTTAATTATTTGTAAATGATTTTGCCTTACTGATCATTGCCATGACCAGTTTTATCTTTAAATGATAATTTCCCTCTCAACTGTCACTCATGAATCATTCTTTATTAAGTCGATAAATATAATTGTAAATTAATTAAAGCTATTTTTGTTTGCATTCTTACATTTTTCATTGTTACTTTTTTTTCGAATGAGATACAGTAATCTTTACATGGTTACTTTCTTCATATTAAGTATCTTCTTTTAGAAACGTTTTTTGCATAACGTAAATAATTTGCAAGTGAGGATTAAAGTCAATTCTTAAGCATAGCTCTCCGAAGGTGTAATGCAGTACAATCTGAAAAACACCTTGGAGACCTATACAGCAACACAACTGTTAAAATATGTTGAACTTCTTTCGCACCGTACGTAGCCAACCTTGCTCATTGAAGGTGCGGGGGAAGGACAACAAACTAAACACAAAAAACAATTAAAACCGACGCGGTGAACGTTTAAACATCATTCAGTGAATCTCATTCTTAGCAGTTGGAATTACATGGATATTTGAAGGTCAAATTATTATATACTGTAATGAAGCTTAAAGTAAATTCAGAGGTCGTGGCACTGCACCACCGATGAACGCATAAGGAAAAACATTCAACGGATTTTAGGCAGGTAGCCAAATATGCCTTTGAATATTTAATACTGTATTTTAAAGAACTTTCCATGCTTTGCATTTTTTTGCATCGAATGAAATATTAATTTTAAAAAATGACCCACTTTACAAAGCCACTTCACTCAACTGTGAAAATTACACATCCGGCCCCTTTGTATATGAAACATTTTAACACGTAGGCTTTCGCGACCAATGTTATCCATAGAGGTTTTTGGGTTAAATCGCGTAAATATAAATGTTGAAACCCTCCACCATCCGACACAGCCAATCAGTATAGGATTTGTCACGTGGGCTGAAGTAGTAACTATTTGGTGTTTTGTTTAAGTGACAAATCCCTTACTGATTGGCCGTGTCGGGTGGTGGAGGGTTTCGACACATACTTACGCAATCTAACCCAAACAAAAAAACCTGTTATGGATTACGTAGCTAAGCGCAATATTTCAACTGTTGGGCTTGCTTGAATCCGTGCCGGTGAACTGCCAATCGTACGGGCAAGGACCGACTCCTTTACGATAAAGGAGGGTTCTAGACCAATGAAGATGTATATAATTCGCAACGACAACAACAACAACATAATAATTGGCGACGCAAATTTTTACTTTAAGTTGCGCTAAAAATGGGTCCGGGCAAGCAATGTGAACCGTCTGATATGTGAAATGTGGCGTGACTGTTATTGCTGAAATGATAACTGCATATTAGATTTTACTTACGTTTTACAGACTTAATAACGTGATGTGTTGACGTGTGCGTGTGTTTCACTGCAAGGTCTGGGAGCATTCAACACCACTGGGGTGACATCTACCACTTTGTGGAAAAATTGGCAGAGAAATTTGTAAGGTATGTACCTTTTTTTTTATACTGTTGCTGTGAAATATTGTGTTCACTGGTACTTCTGCGGTGTTCTGGCTAGCACACAGGACTTGCAATCCCGAGTTCACTTCTATTTCCCAGCATGGCAGCTGAAAGTTGTAGCAATGGCCCACCGCCCAGCAGTATAACATGGGTTCTAGATTTAAAGCTTTCGTGACTGCAAGGATCCATCCATACTCTTTGGTTCTATTCGGTAAAGTCACCAAAGAGTATAACATGGGTTTAACCACAGTTAATCAGCAGGGTTTATATGGTGGGGTAAGGTGTGGCTAATCTCACCTCTATCAAGACTTCTGATCAGTGTGGACGAGTGGGTCCCTCTAGAGCTCTAGCGGGGGGACCCTTTCGCCGGTAGTGGCGTCAGCAGGCGAATGCAGGGCTGCACCATGTCACTTGTTTTCTTTACTTCAAAATCCAAGAGTCAAACGGTCTACCCTGCTCAAGTGACCATTTTTTTTTTGTATTGCTCATTTGCACTGCCTTCACGTTACATGTCGTGGAAGTTTTACATTGATATGGCCGGGCTTGTAGCATCCACACGATGACCGCTTGATTAATATTGAGTGGGATGACTGAGGTGACTGCCTTCCGGGGTTTGAGCTCGTCACCATCCAGTTGTGAGTAAAGCAGTTTTAATCGGTGTCACCTGACCAGATTTGACTGTTTCTGAAGAAGCTTCCAGCGCATGAAGTGAAAACGTCCGACATCGTGCCGAACAACACTGGATACAACGCCAAAACACCTCAGAGAGCTTTGTTGCTCGCACGAAGTGCACCTTTCAGTCCAGTTCACTAAAATGTTTAGCCCCTTTTTACTTGCCACTATTTCACCACTAGGTAAATACAACTAAATAAGATTTTTGTGCATTGGGTTGTCATCTTGGACATTTAACTTCGTATCTCGAATGCCACAAACAGTATGGGTTTTTAGAAAGTATATTATGGTTTTACCATCATGACCTAGTATTCTGAAGAAAAAACACATGGGTGGGGCGCTGATGAAATGCAGATTTGTTCCAAAGATACAGTATAGGCATGCTGATGTCTTTGTGGGTATCATGTTTCCTTTGAAATGGAATACAGTCATGCACTTGCCATCACATGTCATTTAAACAAGCTCAGGAAAACCGTCTACCGATTTAAATTGTCCACCAAGTGAAACGTGGGGATTCGGGAGCTGAACTCGATTTAAATTGTCCACCAAGTGAAACGTGGGGATGTGGGAGCTTAATTTTCTCGTAACGTTTCAAACATTCACACCTGTGAAAGGAGGCAGGCAAACATCACCGTGAATCCATTCGAGGGGTCGTATAAGAAATGTCTTTACTGATGCGCACAGTGCAACATCGCACGTCAGCCTCACCGAGGATTGAGGTAAAAGCAAAAATGTGTTGCAAGGGGCGGATACGTGAGCATTACAAAAAAATTACAGTTACACAGCTGTGCAGAAGCACTGCCACTGGGTGTGGGCGGCAAATTGGTCAGAGTGGATATGCGACGGTCAGATATGCGACGGTACGTATTTTTTAAGTCCTCGGTTTGTAACCGTGCTCTGTCGATACGAAAAGGATCTTTCTTTTTAACTTTGTACAGTACTCGACAAACGGGAGAGAAATGTGGAAGCGTGTTTGGACAGAAACAACACAGCTCTCGAATGCACTCCGGATTTTTTGAATTCTTTGTCTTCATAGCGCCGCCGCGACTGGGATCAAGCTGGCTGAGACAGCTCTTTCAATCATTATTGTTTTTTCTTAAGTTTTTTAATACTCTTGGCGTTTTGTGAAAAAGCAATATTATTTTATATTGACCATACTAACCAGCCAGTTACTATCCATCTAGACACTCTCTATCATTGTTCAATTATGAACAAGTTCATCTAGATTTTGATTTAAAGCTTTCGTGACTGCAGTAATTCATATTCTTAGCTCTTTCGGTAAAGTCACGTTGAAGGGAAACACTAAATAATAAAATATATTATTGTTTTATATATATTTTATTATTTTATTGTTTCCCTTCAACGTGACTTTCCCGAAAGAGCTAAGAATAAGTTCATCTAGATTCTGTTTGATATTGATTCAACCCCATCACCCATCCTGGGTTGGAAAAAATATCAATGACCACATTGTGTGAGAAGTCAGTCTTGGTTGTCCTAAGGGCAGACTCTTTTCCTACATAGGAATGTGGAATTTCCACCAGTGGCTCGTAGCTGAAACAGGGGGACGCTGACTGTGAGTTCAGTTGTTTGCATGATACTGAACTTTGTACCGCTTATCTTGCTTCTCAAGATTGCTGCGCTGCATGCATCGACTTGCAGACTAATGATACGTATGCGTCAACAATAGTATAACACTTGAGGAATCCCAGCATGCTTTGCTTACTAAGATGACACCCAAAGTCTTGGGCCCTTTCTGCCACACAGCGTTGTGACGGCCAAGAACTCGCAAGAGCCGAGAGTGGCAGCAATCAGTCCCTTGGATTTGTTTCTCCATTTGCTCTGGCTCATTTGTATAGTTTTGAGCAATACTATTACCATGAATATTGCTTCATACTTATTTGCATGAATTGCTTTGTATATTATCACACTCAATTCAATACGTGGCACGTAATATTAAGTGGTGACATCCATGTCGTCCGTTCGTGCTGCGAGGAATTTGCATCTATTGCTTAGAATTACTTTTAAATAAGCTACCTGCTGACTTAGATTGTTGATGTAAACCATCTTGAATTTGCCTGCAAATGGCATTGCCATCCCTATGGCCGGCCGAATATGTACAAGAATGGTCACGGCATCTTGATATTCAATCCCCCTCGGTGTACCACGACCACAACCCCCAGTCTCCAACAGCTCGAGATCTCACAACTTGGGATGGTGACGGGGCAGCAGATGCTAATAATCGCTGGGCTTGAACAGGATTCGTCATGGAACTGTCCATCGCTATGTATAAGTGCATAGACTCTGGTGATTTGGCAGCAGGGACACGTCACTAAGAAGGGATGATGATGATAATAATAATGGAGTGGCAGCCAAAGAATGGAACACACCCTCGCTGTACGTCCTCTGAGAAAGATGGAGCGGTGACATTGCTTGATGTGCAGGTTCTGGGAGTGGATAATTACGTTGCAGGATCGCGATAGGTGGCAGCAGCCGCGGTGGCCGCTATGGGAAGGAGGCCTTCATGCAGCAGTGGATTCACCACGGCTGACGATGTGCCAGATGTGTTTATTGGTAACGAATGCAAATTATGAACGGTGCTCGCGTCTGGTGAGCACAGGCCTTGGCAGGGATGGACGTAAATTCAAGGCAGCGGCTGAGAATTTCCACAATTTAGTGTTGTGGAAACTATTCCACAGCAGATATCCAAAATTAAAATAACGCAAGTAAATTTTATATTTTTAACTCCGCACACCTTGGCTTTGTTGTTGACTAATGAGGCCGCCTGCAAATGAAATTTCTCCGCAATGACTTTGGGGTAGGGAACGAGCGGCGTTCCTGCACTCTGCGTAAACATCTACGCCCGCCGATCCATTGCAAGAGGCGGTGCACTTTGGGATATTAAAATTGGTGGATGATAAATTTGGGGCATGAATAGGGGCAGCAGGCCATTAGCAGAAATCACTCGAACCGGGCGATCAGGAGGGGGGACCCTATTTTTATTGTCATCGTCTGAAATCGTAGCATTGCCAAGTCTATTGTGTTTACAAAAAAAAATCTCGTTTCAAATAAACCAGGGCATGTACGCGCAGTGAACGTGGCACATAAATTAGATTTATTGTTTTAGGGAGTGTATTGTACTATTTAATGACCTACTTCTGTATGTGTTGGCTCTGAAACGCACACACTCCCACACATACACCATCAAAAGATAAAATCTTCCCCCCCATCGTTTAGTTTTGTATATAACGTGGGGACAAGAGCTGGTCGCGAACGCCTACAGTATTGAGGCATGCTAAGAGGTCGATGTTACTGGTATAGCCAGCAACACACCTGGCCACTTTTGTCTTCCCAGTGCTCATGCTCATACCCCAATGTGAGAGAGCCATTTAAGGCCGAGTCTATCTAGTTGGAGGCACAGGACGGGTATTAACATCACTGGTCACTGATGTTATTTGTGGCCTGGAATCAATCTGAGGTCACTGGGTTCATCGACCACTGCATTACACTCACCCTTGCAGCTTGTTCGGTGGACTTTTTATTTATTTCAAATTTAGAACATGCTTGAAAAAAACACGTGTAGTTATTTCACAAGCATGTCTTTATTGTGCCGGTGTGCTTATTCACCCATAAACATTCATGTGTATGATGAACTGCTTTGCAATGTATGTACTGAATAAAAATTATATGGGTGATAGGAAATTTTACGTCATTAACAAGGAGACACGTCTGAAAATGTACACGTTCTTGATACTTAAAACATATTACTCTTGCCATTCTCTGAGGGGGTTGTTAGACCATACTTCACCACGATGTGGGCCATGACTGGGAATCGCACTCGGCTCGTCAGGTCTGTAGCTCCGTGCCCTGACCACTGCACTTCCACTGGCCTCCTTTAGGAGCCTTATCGTCCAATTAATTATTTGTACAGTATGGTTCCCGTATTGTCTTTTTTAAAGTGGTGAGTGGTGGCACAGTGGTTGGTGCAATGCCAAAACTATTTACACTAAACCATGTATTTATTTTACCAGGTAAGGCCCACTGAACTATACAGCTCCTTTTTTTTCAGAAGTGCCCTGACCACAAATAATAGCTCAAGGAAGTGGCTTACGATGTGGAAATGTATAGCAGGCAAATAAATGCTCTAAACACATTCTTCTAAATGTGGAGGGGGAAAAACTGGAGGACCCGGAGAAAAATCCACGCGACCACAGGGAGAGAGGCATGCAAACTCCAAATGTACAGGTGTCAGGTTTGGATCGAACCCACGACCTCCTGCATACCAGGCGCGGGAGAAAACATCTCGCCACCGCGGCACCCTGCACTACGAAGTCAGCAACCTGAGTTCGATAACATCAGTGGCAACATTTAATTATTTAACAAATTTCCCTTTCTGTTCAATGAATGAATATTGCGAAGATTGAAATGCTCGTGTAATATGTCACATATGCAGGAATGTTAATGCGCTGTTTCCTCTCCCTCCCACCTGCACCCCCCCCCTCTGCGTGAGAATGAAAGTTGTCAATGACCAGAATTTGTCTGCTTGTTTCTGCAGCCCCCAGCTGAGGATGTCCTTCATTGTTTTCTCCACCCATGGGACTGTGGTCATGCCCCTAACAGGAAACAGGTGGGACACCAACCGTGACACGCACACACGCCAGTGGCAGCAACCCAGCAGGACCAATTCTCTCATTCCTGGCGTGGCTGCCTAGCTATTAATGATATTATTATAAGTCGCATAATAGTTTTTTTAATGTCATTGAATTACTCTTGGGATATTTCATCATCACTGTCATCATCATCAGCCGTAGTATATTCACTGCTGGATTAAGGCATCCATCGGCCATCTCTCAGGCTCGCGATGCAAAAAAACATCTATCTGCTGGACATTGTTATTGAATTACTAAAGGGTTCTTTCATCATCATCATCATGATCAGCTATTACCTATGCACAGCTGGATGAAGGCATCCACAAGCCCAGTGCTCTCTTTTATGGTCTCATGGTGCAACGATTCTTGTAGCCGCTGCACGTGAAGCTGATTTCATCGCTCAATCGCTGCGGCTGACATCTTCTAAACCGCATCCACTGCACAAACCATGGCCGATGCGGATACCTGATGCACAAATGGAAAATTAAAAACTCTCCAGTGTGCGACTGTGGTCATTCAGAACAAACCATGCAACGTATAACAACACAGTTGCCCGATCAACAAATACGAAGGGAGACATCGCAGCGATACACTCCACTGCTCCTGACGCGGTTATCTAGCTTGGCCACCTGAATGTGCAATTGTAGCCGTTGTTCTGCGTCTGCATCGACCGTGCGAAGGAAGAAGAAGTCGCGTTGTAACCTTTTGGCTGCTACTTGATCATCATTCCTCGACACGACGTGTCCAGCCCCCACGTGATCAGAGTGTGTATCGGGGTGCTCTGCGATCTCATATGCGGATGTGGGTAGTGGCATCGTGGATCATCCAGTTGTTTGGAGATGAGAGATTTTATGATTATAATGTTTTATTTAATATAGTAGCGTCGTTCATGCAAATTGCATCTCTCACAATCGCTGAGGGTACCACAGGCAAGAGGGAAGGCAGCAGCCAGGCGGTGAACCACCGGAAATAATTGCCTGAGCTTTGTAGTCCTCTATATATGAAGATATTTTTCGGCCAATTTAACGGGTGTTTTATACACGTGGAAATAAACTAAAGAACTCGGACAAACCCCATGCTTTGCAGGGTCCCACCCTCGATCCCATACAGAAAGGCCCGATTATATTATTCGGCACTTTGCCGTGTCGCCTTCTCCTGGCAAGCCAGCATGGCTCCCCCTCGACACCTACTCGAAGGGAGTTTCGCGACGTTTGGGCGCGATCCAGCAACCCTCGTCGCCTCCACGGTGCTGGCTAGCGGAACACGGGCATAGCCACCACCTCTGTGGAGGCTGTAGAGCCAAGAGGGTTTCTGTCGTCGAGTTGGGATGCGTCGACGGGTTGACGTGAAGATTCCGGTGGCAGCTGGCGAAAGAAAACGTTGCACGGATGGAGGCTACGAGCCCCTGCAGAGTGGAGGTTTCTGGGGATGGAAACACAAGCTCGCCCAGCCTAAGGTTCTGCTCGCTTTCTGCACGTGCAATGTCCCGAGTTTTCGAAGGTGCACGCGCAAACCGCGGTGTTTACTGCGGGGTGGATTTTTTTTTGTCGTTGTGGCCCCCCCAGTGTGAGAAGTTTCTTCCGTTTTGGCAAAGATTATCTGAAGGAAGTTAGAACAAATCCAAGATGAGACGAGCGTCCGTAAAGGCAGGATGTGAGTGGACTCTGAGGTTGGGTCATGGGGGAGTCAAACCGAAAAAAACTAACTCTGACTCCATCATGAACACTGCCTTGCAAAAAGGAAATTATGTAAGAGGGCTAACGTTTCGAGCAGTGGTCCTTCTTCAGCATTCTCCTCCATATGGCAGCCGATATTGATGCAGACCAACGGCTACAATTTTACGTTGAAGACGGTTGATGCCAAATAATTGCAAGAAGAGCAGATTGGTGCATCGCTGCTGTGATGCACTCCTTCGTGTTTGTGAATGGGGGCATTGAGTCGTTCTGTACGGTCCATGGTCTGTTCCGGGTGACCACAGTCGCACATCGGAGAATTGTTTTAGTTTCCCATTTGTGCATCGAGTATCTGCATCTGCTGCTGCCATGGTTTATATGTACGTATGTTGAGCTTCTTTCGCACTGCACGTAGCCAACAATGCTAATCAGAGGTGTGGGGAAGGACAAAAAAACTAAACACACAAAGCAGTTCTAAAGAAATTAGTTTTCAATCTTGATGATTTAAAAGTGTGGACCTCCAGTGGTTTCCTAATATCAGAAGGAAGAGCGTTCCAGGCGGTCGCAGAAGCGCATCTGAAAGCGACCATCTTTGTTCGATGGCCAGCCAAATGGCAGTGAATGTGGTTCTCAGGCGTTGTGGCCCCAGAAGCTTCGTGGCAGATCAACATCGGGGATCTTCTGCGTCGTTGGGTCTTTCACAAGGTGTTTGCTCCTTTTGATATCTTATGAACTCCCATTTGGCTTACCAAGTATCATCGTCCTCATCATCATCATCACCAGGGTTCAAATATGTATTGTTGAAGGTTGCGCACGTGGGCTCCAAAAGGACTTCCTGTCCGACTTCTTCAAGCGACGGTGAGGGACGCTGTTGAGACCCTCCTGGTGGATAGCGCGAGTGAGCCAGGGGAGTAACGATGTTGCCACATGGCACGGCAATCGGGCTTACCGTCACGGCCCAGGGTCGAGGGTTAATTGTTTTTTTTACAGTGTGGAGAATGTGTTGGCCACTTTCGGCGATGTATTTTTTTTTACATGAACCCTCTTAAGTACGACGTATAGTATATGGTTGGAAAAGCGGTTGATTCTCACACAAATGATTGGTTACACGTATTGTGATCTTGAACATCATCTTTATGCCCCCCCCCCATTACATTTAATGTTGACGATGGTGAATTGTTGTTATGCTGGCAAATCGCCACCACCAATGCCATCCCCTTAATTTTAATAGAACCTTTAAATGTGATCACCCTGTTTAATCCACACACAAACAAAGTGACGTGTTAAAGCAAATATAACTCGACATTACTGTGTGCTCTGTATTTGAAATTATGCAATATTTTAGTTGGCGCTTAAAAGTATGGAAAACAAATCTTACATTTTTAAAATAATGAAAATGTTGAGAGAGTTTGATTCTGTTTAATTATGAAAACTTGAGTAATATGTAGTGTCACTTTTGTAAGAAAACCTCCCCGATTCTCAACATTTCTCCTTTCCTGAGCCGGCGGTGGAAATTCCACATTCCGTCGGCGTGGGGACCGTGTTCTGTTTGTAGACCATCTGCTGCTCACTCTCGGTGTATTCCGTTGTTTCTGGTGGTAGCTTTCGTGTAGAGTAGAACCCCTCCTTAACGACCACCTCTGTTAACGACTAATCGCTTAACGACGGGCCTCCATAGAGCCCAGTGTGTAGTGTATAGTAGTGTAGTGTATAGTGTAGTGTAGTGTTTAGTGTAGTGTACAGTAGTGTATAGTGTAATGTAGAGTAGAACCCCTCTTAATGACCACCCCTGTTAACGACTAATCACTTAACGATGGGCCTCCATAGAGCCCAATGTGTAGTGTATAGTAGTGTATAGTGTAGTGTATAGTAGTGTATAGTGTACAGTAGTGTATAGTATAGAGTAGAACCCCTCTTAATGACCACCCCTGTTAACGACTAATGACTTAACGACGGGCCTCCATAGAGCCAAATGTGTAGTGTAGTGTATAGTAGTGTGTAGTGTAGTGTATAGTAGTGTATAGTGTAGTGCCTCCATAGAGCCCAGTGTGTAGTGTGTAGTAGTGTAGAGGTGTGCAGCGTTACCCCTGTGTACATAACGGGTGGGGTCAGACGAGGTAAAGTGGATCGTAGCCACAGTTTGGTAAGAAACAATCAGACAGTTCCACGTGGGAATGTGGGATTGGTGACACCTGGCCACAAAACGAGTATAAGAAGGGTGACCACGCAGAGCACGGGGAGTTCTCTCCCTACACGAAGACCGAAGCCCGGGCTGAAGAATAGCTCGGACCCTGGACCCAGCCTTCCAGCCCTTCTGAGGGCTAAGGCTCGGCGTACCCAGTGGTCAGGACCCACCGGGCCAGCGGTGGGCCAGATAGCCTCCCCTAGATCCCAGCCGGAGGACTCTGGGATAGCGGTAGATGTGTAAGTCCCGCCAAAATAGGAGGTTGTACCTCCTTAGGCTAGGATAGTGGTAGACGTGTAAGTCCCTCCAAAATAGGAGGCTGTACCTCCTTCGGTTTCAAGGAGACCTGTGTGTAGGTTACGCTGAGTCCGGAGGCTGTACCTCCTTAGGGTATCGGGTGAGGGGACCGTATACCCCTCCGTGTGTTAAGGACTGTGTAAGAGAAGAATTACAATAAACAGAGTGTGCCTCCATAAGAAGTTTATTCGTCTTTATAAACACTAAATTAGTGTAGTGCCTCCATAGAGCCCAATGTGTTCACTTACCGACCATTCCCCTGTTGACGACGGGCTTTTGTAGGTACAGTAAATATGAATTAATGCATTGATTAACCATATTTATTTTAATATTATATTTGTATAATGTTGTTAGTATTTTTATGTATTTCTATCCATTGTTTAAATATTATAAAGTACTTTTTTGGGTGAAAAGGGGTAACTTTTGATGTTATCGGAACGAATCTAGGCTTTAATGTGTATTCCCTATACTCACTTAACTACCGAATCGCTTAACGACCGGTTTCGTGGAACTAACTACCGTCGTTAAGAGGGGTTCCCATTGTACGTCGAGGTCACAGAAAACTGTTATCGAGCCTTTGCTCGGCTGCATTTCTGACATCGTCCGTGTGTTCCCTGGCATTCCAGGGAGAAAATACAGCTGGGCTTGGAGGAGCTGAACCAGGTGCAGATCGGAGGAGACACCTGCATGCATGAGGGGTTTGCTCGCGTGAGTTTCCCTCCAATATCTATGACTTTTTGGATATTTTTTTCGCTGGCCGTCCCCCAACTTGTGATATTGGACGCGTCACGAAGCAACGGAAACATTCTTGTGGAAATCCATCGGTAAGCAGAGCTTCGCGGTTCAGTCTGGGAATGGGCCTCAGACTGGGCTCGAGATGGTACGCCACTGTCAAGTGTGACACTCTACGTGCCAGTCATCCAGTACCCTAATATATAAACACCCAGGTCTGTGATTCTGTCATTCTGTCATTCTGTGACTAACGCGGCATGGATTGATTGAAGTGCGTCATGTGACCGGGACCAAGCAGCCAACCAACGCTTGGCAGGGCTATAGAGGGGCGGGTGAAAGTCCGCATTGAACCAAACCCACAGCAAGGCCATCTACTTAACGACGAGAAGAAATTAACACGAAATGTAGTTTTCAATCAAGTATTCCAGATGTAAAATGATATAAGCTTTTAATGAAGAAATAAGATAATGGTTATATAATAAAACTGGTTTATTCTGATGAAAAGTACTCGGCAATGTTTCTCCCCTTTTTTCAAACATTTGAGTGTTACCGTGCCTACGGGATATCTCCGCTATGTTGTGTTGAATGTCCTGTGGACTGCGAGGAAAACATCTTTCATTTTCTTTCCTGAGGAAAATAAATGCGAGCAGAATTAAATGGTATTAATTCGGCATGCAAAGGGGCCTATGTAGATTTGTAGTTCAGTTTTGCCAACGGTGTTAATGTGTTCGTTCAGCTGACACTTATCTGTTATTTTCCTCCCAGGCGAGCGAGCAGATACAACAAGAGTTTTATTACGGTATGTGGTCTTATTTTTACTGCCTTTTTATAAGCAAAAATGTGCAATGGAATACTCTGTTGCAAATCGTTTCAGCTACAGAGGGCCCACATCTTGTTGGTGTAAAGTGTTTTTTTTCACTTACCACTGGTGGGAAAATGCAAATGAAAAATCTGTTAAATTCTGAGGTGATTTGGTCATCACTTTTCCAGGGCACTGGCAGAAACTTTTAGCGTGCACTGACGCGTTAAGTAAGATTCTTGATTTGTTATTTATGCAACAAGTGTTGTCATTAAACTGGGCAACTCGTTATGTAATACATGTAATATTACGCCACGCCGATCCTTTTGTCTATTATTGATGAAAGCCAGCTGTGTCCTATTTTTTTTCATTCAAACGTAGGCTCAAAGGTTTCCGCACTTTGCTCCCATATTGATATCCGTGTTAAATTCCATTCCTCCACCTGAGGTACGCACCACACATGCCCGATGATTGGTAAAACACAGAAGCCTGTGTCATGGTGGGCAACAGTGAACTGGCATTTGTGATTTGCAGGGTGTTAGAAAAAAAGTTAGGAAATTGTGTAAAATGTGTTTTTATTGTGTTCTCGGGTTTAAAAGATGTACTCTTTTTTCTCCCATAATGTAAAGCAAAGTTAGGGGTGTGTGTTATAATCTGGTAGGTGTGTGCATGATTGTTTGTTCGTGTGGTCAGGTTAGTATAACTCTTTTGACATTCTACCCATGTCATATTCTTAGCTCTTTCGGTAAAGTCACGTTGAAGGGAAACAATAAAATAATAAAATATATATAAAACAATTGTTTTATATATTTTGTATATATATTTTATTGTTTCCCTTCAATATGACTTTACCGAAAGAGCTAAGAATATGAATTACTGCAGTCACGAAAGCTTTAAATAAAAAAATCTACCCATATCGTTAAGAAAGGCTCCTTGGTTGTAGGATTTGGATAATCGCCAGGATAGATCGAGGCAATCCTGACTCTGTTAATGATACACTGATTTTGCTTGAATTTGAATGTTAAATGTATTGCTTGCTTTGTAAAGGTCAAGAAATAAAGGACCTTCTGGAATTGTGTGAATGCCAAGTAATTAGATTTAACAACAATTGAAATGTTGAACGTTTGAATGCTTTGGGTGGTCCTCCATTATACTTTGCTAAACCCTTAACCATGGTAAAACAAAAAAGTGATGGTGGAGTAGAAGACGTGGTGCCAGGTGGTTGGTGCAGTGCTATGAACCTGGCAAAGCGGAGTTTTATTTCCAGCCACGGCTAACATCAGTGGTAAGGTACTAACCGGTATGCACTTAGCATCGTGGTGAAGTATGGTCAAATAGCCCCCCCCATCACTGACAAGTTGTGGGGGAGGCCTTCATCCAGCAGTAGATGAATAAAGGGCTGTATATTATTATATTAAAATACACAATGTGAAATGTGGAATGATGCCATGAAACATATTCCTGTGGCCGTTTCCAACAACGGTTCGGCTGCGTTTTTCCGTATTTTTTTCGCGTATTTTGTCGCGGCACGTCGTCCAACGGTCTCGCTCCCCCGTGCCGAGAGATTCCCCGTTTCGCTTGGGTTCCCTTGGAGAAGCTCGCTCCCCGCGCGTGGAGTCGAAACGTCGGGCCTCGCTCAAAAATAACGCTCGGCACGACCTGAAAGCTCGACGGAGAGCGCTCATTGTGTTTTTTCTCCTCCGCACTGCTTCTCGTAGGCGAAAAGGCTGCCAGCATAATCATCGCGCTCACTGACGGGGAGCTCACGGAATATTTTTTCTCCTATGCAGAAAGAGCGGTACGTATGCCGTTTTGCGGCCACGTCCAGTGCAGCAGAATCGCTGCTCGGCAGAATGCATGTGGCTGGGTTTCTACACTTGATGGTAGCATTTGCGTTGGCCATGTGTAAGAGCACGGGCTGAACATACTTTAGCACCGTCGTCATTTGCAAACACTGCCTTATTGCCACGTAACCTTGAATGCACTCGGTCTGTAATGAGCTAGTGTTTTGGACAGTGGCTTTTCTTCACAAGTAGGCAATGAGAGAAGCAAGTCGGAATATTTTAACCTATAGAGGTCGCACATTGCAATGGGGGTGTTTTTTATATATAATAATGACATTTGAGGATATTTTGTCAATTCCCAATAGTTTGCTTTCCCAGTCTCTGTTCAGCGCGAGAGCCAAAGTGTTAGTCTCGCACTGTACAAATTATGCATCTTTCGTTTACGCATAATGCAACGTCCGTGAATTCGCGCAGCAGTGCAGAACTGAAGCCAGATGTTGGGTTACTGTAAAGAGCAGACGGTGGGAGTTCGGGTGTCGGCTTCACAACAGCTGTTCGGCCGAGCAGAAAGAAGGACGCGATGATGGGGGGGGGGGGGGAGAGGCGACATCAACAACCGCTGTCCGCGTTGACTTTTCGATCGAGATCTTAACGATGCCGTGAAGGATTTTGAGTGAGTGCATGCGTGCGTGCATGCGCCGCGCGTATGTGTTTTTTGCGTTGTGCGTAATCGGCGCCGCCGGTGGGGCGGGTGGAGGGGCAACCGTCCCGAACCCTGACCCCCCCCCCCTCGCCCTAGCGCCTGCTGACCTTGACCCTGTCTTTTTGCCGTGCCCGTGGTCGCGGGGTTGTGCAGGCCGATCTGGCTCGGCAACAAGGAGCCATGGTCTACTGTGTGGGCGTCAAGAACTTTAACTACACGCAGGTGGGGCCCTACCCGCGCGGCGGTTTGGTTTGCGCGGAATGCGACCGACTTTGGTGGAATGCGTAGCGGTGCACGTCGATTGTATGCCATGGTGTCAAACAACACGTTTGTGAAAAAAAGAATTTCCCCCTCTTCTCCGAACTGAGCATTGGGACGCTACTCCTTGTCATCTCCCGTTTACAGCCCCTGAGCCAGTGGTGGAAATTGCACATTCCCATGGTGGATGTGAGGTTATCTGTAGGACAACCTCTGTTGACAAAGTGGAAGTGATTTTATTGACCTGTAAACATGATGGGCTGAGTCAACGCCCCCCCCCCCCCAAACCAACCAGGATTTGAACTCGCAATGTGTTTGGAACACAATGAATGGATTGCAATTAACAAAATAGAGCCAATGTACATATTCTACTTGCAATGCATTGTGGGCAGTCCGGTGGCTAGGGGGATGAAGAGAATCACAATAACCTCCAAAATTCACATCATTAGGGACCTCATTAAAAGCGATAATACCTTGGGTTGTATGTTGTCCAGCTGGGCTAAAATGGCCGAATTAAATTCTTATCAGGATGCTAATTACTGTGGGAACTTGGTCATAAAATGCGTGGAGTTTTGCAGGGTCCCCGTGTGTGCCTGGCCTGCCAACCCTGTACCCTTGTGTCCTCCATTGCTACCATTTGAAGAGTCCCTTATGGGTTCATTCTGTTATGCCACATCTACTACCACTAACTGGATTGTGACACACTGCTTTTTCCTGTTGTTTTGAAGCTAAAGTTGGGGGTGCATCTTATTATCTGCTAGCCGTGTGTGAGTGTGACCTAGATCTGTATCCCACAGTGGTGAGATGTTAACTACCTCGCCTGTTATCTGTTAACGACCTCGGTATACAGGATGTCGTGGGTTCGATCCCGACCCTTGACGCCTGTATATTTAGAGTTTGCATGTTCTCCCCGTGGTTGTGTGGATTTTTCTTCAGGTTCTCCGGGTTTTCCCTCCATTTAGAAACGTCCGTTTAGAGTATTTGGCTGATATACATTTCCACATGATATGTCACTTCGTTGAGATATCATTTATGTCCAGGTTACTTCTGAAAAGGAGCTGTTTAACTAAGTGGGCTCTATGTTGTAAAATAAAAATAGTTAATTAGTTTGACCTTATTGACACTGGTTACAAATTTTGGGTGCGTCTTCCTTTCCGGAGGGTCTTATAATCCATAGAATTCCATAGTTTCGATTTAAAGCTTTCGTGACTGCAGGGATTCATCTTCTTCATCTTCTTGGTTCTTACGTGACTTTACCGAAAGAACCAAGAAGATGAATTCCATGGTTAACGTGCCTGCATCGGCCACTTGTAAATGTTTCACTGGCTTGCAAAGCCACGCAACGTTTGTTTATGGACTTGTTGTTCCAAAATCAACTATCTTTAAAAGAGTGCAGTAATGTAGCTTTTGTAGTGTTCATTTAAAGAAATAAGCTTTTATGATGTCCATTAGCCAAGAAATCATGTGCAGGAAGTTGCATCTGCAGCCAACACATTTGTATTGATCGGAAAGAGGCTCAGTGTAACGCTAAGCCATTTCCTAAGTGCTCATAAATAGAGCAGGGAAAGACCCTGCTTGATGTGGACTAGCCCAAGTCGAGCACTAAAATTGCGTCGGTCCCGAATTGTAACGTTAGATCAAGAATTGCCTGGTTTATTTAGTGCCATAATTAACAATGTAACACAGCAAGACATTTCAACCGATTATCAATTAATTTGTTCCACCCGAGACCATGAGGGCCCTTTTGAGATAAGACCTCGGTTAATGCATGAACTCACTGGCGCCTAGGACTAAGACAGTGACCAAAGCACTTGGAATGCTTCCCAGTCTCGTAAGACAACGGAAGCCAAGCTGATTCGAGCCTGGATGGTGCTTGAATAGGGGACCACTATGCACGCCACGGTGTTATGGGCTGGCTATGGGGTGACCCTAAGAGGCCAGCAGAGGGGGAGTGCAGCCAAATCTGTTGCACTATGCACCCACATCTATGCTCCCCCATCTATGCCCCCCCACCTTCACCATCCCGCATGGACCAGCAGCGGTGAAGTACGGTCAAATATCCTCCATGATGTGCACGGCGTTGGGGAGGCCCTCGTCCAGTGAGGTGGCGCAAAGGAGGGTGAAGTATGAATTTGGTCCTGTAGCGTTCTTGCATAGTGTGGGGGGGACCCAGCGGTTTCTACGGTGGAGTCATTGCATCACTTTGCAGTGAAGCATTTTCTAGGTTCGTGGCGGGAAGCGGCGGCAGTGTTGTTGTTCGCGCAGGGAGCCAGCGCTATGGAATGCTTCACCCCGCGCGTAATTAGGTCATCGGCATAGTTTTAGTTTTTTTTTGGGTGGGGGGGGAAAACGCGGTAAGAGCTCGCTTGTTGAAATGAAGCACAGTGGTCCACGGAGAGGAATGGTATCCCGGTAAACATGCCCCAACGTTTTGGGCCAACGTGTTTGGCTTGTTGTTGGAACCATTGGACCAACGTGGTTCCAACATTCCTTGTTTTACTGGGACGAGACGGAAGTAATCTTTTCCGTCGACTTAAAAAACACTCGTCGCTTAACGCCGGTTTGAATGGCTGCATTTGCTTTTGATATTTAATTTGTACTGAAAACCACGTGTGGATTTCTTTTAATGAATGATAATGCATTGTATTCTGCGACGGCAAATGCATCCGTTTTATTTTATGTGTAATGACTGAAAATAAGCCAGGTGGTGCGTGGCGTTGCGATTGAAAGGTTCAGATTTCAAAGCCTCGGTCTGGGGTTGACTCGACCTCGCATTTCATCGTAGTAATAATTTCATCGTAGTAATAATTTCATCGTAGTAATAATTTCATCATAGTAATGTATAATTTTTGACTCGGCCCTTCATCCTTCCATGGCTGATTTAAAAATAAGTAACACTTTGTGGAATGTCGTGCCACGGAAACACTCTTCGCCACCATAGGAATGTGGAATTTCCACTGCAGGCTCAGTGCTACCCCTCTAATTTAAGGAACGGAACAGGAGGATTTCTCCACAAATCTGGCTGTCGCCTGATGAAGCTAGTTGTAATTACTGGCGAAGCGTCATACTCGGGTTGTAAATGTTGTGGTTTTGCTCTCCAACATACCGGTGTGATGTATTAGTAACGAATTGCCATGTTCGGCTTGCGTAACAATCTTTACTAATTGGCTGTCGGATGCTGGCGGGTTTAACGACGCAGTTATATGTGTCGTTATATATTTACGCGATCTAACCCAAAAAGCTGTATTATGAATCGGTGCTGTAATTGGGCATAAAAAAGTCACTTCTGCACGAAGTTGAGATGAAAACCACACTCCGGGCGTGTTCGACTTTTGAAATCCCGAGTCTCGCCGCCATTTGTTTGTTTGCAGTTGGCCCGTATTGCAGACACCAAGGAGCACGTCTTCCCGGTGCAGGGAGGCTTCCAGGCTTTGCGAGGAATCATCGACTCGGTGAGTTGAAACGTGTTCTCAAAATCAAATTCGTGCCACGAAACCCCCTTCATCGGACATTGCCCACGACACGGTATACGAATCCCCATCCTTCCCATGACCTCGTGCTGCAGCCGTTTGACTTGCGGATTATTTTTTACACTTTCTCTATCCACTCTGGTAATCTCAGTTAATCGTTCCTCGCTTACGAAATTAGCCGCACGGGCACGGCTAAGGCTCCCGCTTCAGAGCCCAAGCCAAGACTTTTTTGCGTGCGTGTTAGCGTGTAAAATGTGCCGTGATCGACTTGGCTGCCAAGGCGTTGTTTTTTATCGCCGGCGAGTCTCTTTTTTTCACCTGACTTTTGGATTGCATCCCTGGCTTGTCGTTGTCCTGTTGTGTCAGTCTGCCCTCGGCGCAATTATACAGCGGTCAATGTGTTGGTGCTGTCGGTGCGGGTTAATGCTGACGCGCTGCGTGAATGCGTAAACAAGCCACTAAGTCGCTTGAAATGCCGCCTCGCCGTCGCTTCTGAATCGCCCATGCACATCGAGCTGGATCGACGGCGTGTCTACTGTGCCGACCTATCAATCCGTTTGAGCCTCCCGATTATGATCTTCACACGCTTAGAGATGCGTGCGTGCGGATTGTCGCTCAAGAGCAGCTGCGGCGCCGTCGGGGTTGTGCGACCAGTTTTGATGGTTTGCGCGATGCGTTTTATGCCGTCTTTAAATCTCTGCATTTTGCCGATGGGTGCATGTACCAACCAGCTTGCATAACAGCTGTGCTTTCACCGTGTGTTTAACGTGACTGTAAACTGGATCCAATTGATGAGTCGAAGGTTTTCTTTTATTAGGATATATTTTTGGGGATATTTTTTCATAATTGGACCAGTTCAATCCACTTTCAGATAAAGGCCTTCCCAATGAACCTCAAAATGTTGATGTAATTATTAAGCTGCGGCGACTTAATTTTTTTAAAGACTCAATGCCACCAATTTGCGCAGAGTAAAAAGTGTAGCTATAATGTCAATTGTTTAGCTGTAACCCTCCAGCACCCAACCGAGCCAATCAAATCAAGTTTGTAATGTCCAACGAAATATGACTTTAAAAAATATTGCCAATTTTGCTAACTTTTCAACATTCCTCCCGACTTTCCCCATCAACCAAAACAGTTGGCACGTTTGGCCACTCGACAACCTGATTTGATCAGCTCTGTCGGATAGTAGATGGTTTCGGTAACATTTTTACATAACACCTACATGATGATCCCACCCAAATTAAACTGAACTGATGATCACAACATTGGTTGTGAAAGCCCAAGGAATAAAATGTGTAAAAAGTATTTTGGTTCGAACACATCGGGAATACGATTAAGATGAAAAGATCAATACTCATGCACACACGTGCTCTTTGCCCTGCTATCTGTGCGAGCAGCAATGGCTGCTTTATAGTTTTTTTTATCACGTTCCCTCTTTGTTTTTAGATTCTGAAGAAGTCGTGCACCGAGATCTTGTTGGCAGAACCTTCGAGCGTCTGCGCTGGAGGTAAGAAAGCTAATGCTCGCGCTAAGTTGCCAGTTTTTATTTTCACGGAAAGCCTCAACGGGAGTCCGAAGTCTCTCCCAAAAGGAGAGTCCTGCTCGTGCCGTTTGGCGAACTTTCATTCAAGGAGCGTTTTTTGCATGTTAGAGAAAATTTGAGCGCCCATAAGAGAATACCCGCATTAAATCTCCGCCATGGGGCTACCCGCAACCTGTTTTTGCTGGACTACATTCTACAAGAACCACCTCGTCCCCTTGCTGGTAGCTGCCACACATTATTAGTCTTATCATCATATACCAGGTATTAATATAAATTTTGCTGCACAATCTGGGACCTGCTTTCAGAACCGACTTGGAACCGCTCAAATTTCCTCTCGAATGTACAGAGTTGTCAGCCGCTGATGCCTGACGACGAAGGCCCACAAATCCGATCGGATATCCACGCAGTGCAACCGCGAACACCTGCGCCCCGTCGTCTCCATCCCAGCGTCGCCGCCGCCGCCGCCGGCAGCTCCGCGCGTCCCCGGCCGGCTCTCCGTTTGCGCGGCGACACAATTCGGTTGCGGTCAGTCCGCGGAGTGCACGCACGGACGAGCACTCCGTGGGCTTGCCCGCTAACGTGTTGGAGCTCGTCAAAGTTTCTTTTTTTTTTTCCCTTTGCGACCCTTGCCCCCTCGTAACGGTGTGCCGTAAAGCCAGTTTGGCGTTTTGCTCGGCTTTTTGCTGCCCCCCCCCCAACCCCACCCACAAATTTGCTCTGATAATGCATAAATTATGAGAGCAAATTTGTTCGCATGTTCACCACAAGTACGTGTGGTTGGTGCAGACATGATTATTTGCAGCAGGTTTCTGTTTCGTGTTTGAACATCTTAACATCGTCCCATACGACCTACATAATATGGCACAAGACGCACGTTGGTTCCTCGCGCGTGTAATTCTACACCTGTATCGGGAGCTCAAGAAACGTAATATTAATCGGTGAATCGATACGGCGACATTCCCGTCGTGAGGTTTGCCAAAAATCCTCTCGCCGATTGTTTGTTTTTGCCGATGCGATGGAAGGAATTTCTCAGATTTGTAAAACAAAAAAAAAACGACTGCAAACTTCGTCCGGTATCAAAGAGGTGAACAACGCTCCGTTTTTCCTTCAGTCAGCCTTTTGAGCTGCTTGGTTTGATTTCGGTGCCAGTAGCAACGCTTGGCCGTGCGTCATATTACCGTAATATTTTCCCCAGGGATCATCGGCAGGGAAAAATTCAAACTATTCTGGCTATCACCTGATGGAGCTGGTTGTAATCACCAGCGAAATGTCGTACTCGAATTGTAAATGTTGTGGTTTTACTCTCCAATACATCGGTGTTGCTGTTATTCACTCAATCTCACTGGCTTCTCCGTCTCTCTGGACAAGGGCCATTGCCACAATGTCAACCTATTCTATATTCTATAATTTTTTACTTTTCATGGCAGTGTTTCTGACGAATGAGTTAAGTTTGTATTTATCAGTGGGTTGGGCATTTGTAAGCTGTGTGGGGCATGCCACGCGTTTGATACCTGATTTAAATATTTTTTCCGAATTTTTTTTATTATTTCTCATTGACTAAGCCCAGCAAATGTAGCCCAGGTACATATGTAGAAGATGAGTAGCTATTTCGTCTTTGGGCTCTATGTACCTTTTCATCCATTGCCAAGCAAATTGTCTATTTGAATCAAGGACTCTAGGTAAACACTGAGAGAGCGCTTCAAAACAGGAGGATACGTACAGCCTGAACACATCAATACTGCTATAAACGATCATCTATGCCTTGAGTTTCCTGGCTTGGTACTGGCTGGGCTCCTCTCCACCGTGACAATAACTCTATTATTAGTCACGGTGAGTCATTGCCACCGAAACTAGCTGGGTAACTGGCTAAACAGTGAGACGCGTAAGGTGGTAGTAATGCAATACATTTACTTTTAAACGTTTATAAAGTTTTCAATTTGTGCTCCCATTGATGTCATTCTTTCACTATAATATTCTTTCAATCCTAGAGTGTATATACAACTAAACCCTTAGAAATACATCTTGGCATTTTATTACGTAAAAAAGCAAATTACTTTTAGTGCTCTAGAGTACAGGATTGTGAGTGGTGTTAAAACGGCAGCTGTCTCTTTCCGTTTCAGCGTAATGGATTTCTCCACTCGTAGACTGAACAACGCGCAAATGTGTGGTTGCTGCTGTTCTCAAACAGCAGGAATGCACACCACTCCTTGCGCGCATGCCATGTGACCACCGCATTGCATGTCCGCTGCTCTCAGCCTCGTCTCTCTGAACATAAAAAAAAACACAGCCTCACTTTCAGCCGTCTTTTGAGTTGGTGGTCTAGACAAGGCTGAGCGCGTGCACGCGGCGCGTGACGAGGAGTCGTTCGTTCTTTGCCGGCTGCGCAACTTTTTGTACGTTGCGGGTTTTCCAGCACCAAAGACAACGATCCCCCGTATAGCCTTAACGGATTGTTGGGACAAGGGGCTGTTGGTGAGCACGCCATGAGGGCCCAACATACGGCGCACGAGGGTTGGTGCCTGGCCAACGCCACGCCCGGGGGCCGCCTTTGATCGACCCAGTGCCGATGTTTACACCGCCACACACCGGGTTCTGTGACTCGGTGGCTGACTCGACCTCGCCGAGGGAGGCCCAGGACAGGTTCAGATATTCATCACTGATGTTGGCCGGAATCCGAAAATCTAAAAGTTTTGAGACTCCACTGCGTCGCCGCTCCCCCAAACACGACGTTTGTTTTTGTAACACCCCCACCCCACCCCTACTGCACACCACTCCTTGCGTGCAAGGAGTGAAGAAGAGCGTCATAGCTCATCCGATTCCTCCAGTATAAATAAAGTTGTCTGATTCTGAATAACAACAGTACTGTACTGGGTGGTCCATATGTCTTGTGACCCCCCCCCCCCCCCCAATTAATTTGCCCCTAACATTTCTTTACCCTCTTTGCACGTTAATTTCTTGCAAAAATATTAAGTTTTAGATAATTAAATGTGGGGGCGGAGGGGGGGTCACAAAAACCACCTTGTAAGTGTACAAGGTGTAAACGAGTGCAACACGACCATCGTCACGTGCGCAGCACCCACCCCCACCCCCCAGTGCTCCTTGCAGACTCGCAAAGTTCGCAAGGCTCCTGCCTGGTGCCCTCCCTCTCCACTCTCCCACACACCTCTCATCCCTCTACATACACCCCCCACACACCTCTCTCCACATACACCCCCCCACAAACCTCTCCCTCCTTTCACATACACCCCCACAAACCTCTCCCTCCACATACACCCCCCACACACCTCTCTCTCTCCACATACACCCCCCACAAACCTCTCCCTCCCCATACACCCCCCACAAACCTCTCCCTCCACATACACCCCCCACAAACCTCTCCCTCCCTTCACACACCCCCCCCCACACACCTCTCCCTTCCCATACACCCCCCCCCCCCCACAAACCTCTCTCTCCCTCCACATACACCCCCCCACAAACCTCTCTCCCTTCCCATACACCCCTCCACACACCTCTCTCCACATACACCCCCCCACAAGCCTCTCATCCCCCCCCATACACCCCCCCACAAACCTCTCTCCCTCCACATACACCCCCCCACAAACTTCTCCCTCCACATACACCCCCCACAAACCTCTCTCCCTTCCCATACACCCCCCACAAACCTCTCCCTCCCCACATACACCCCCCCACAAACCTCTCATCCCCCCCCATACACCCCCCCACAAACCTCTCCCTCCACATACACCCCCCACAAACCTCTCCCTCTACATACACCCCCCCACAAACCTCTCACCCCCCCCCCCCATACACCCCCCCACAAACCTCTCTCTCCCCACATACAGCCCCTCCCCCACAAACCTCTCTCCACATACACCCCCCCACAAACCTCTCTCTCCACATACACCCCCCCACAAACCTCTCTCTCCACATACACCCCCCCACAAACCTCTCTCTCCCCACATACCCCCCCCCCCCCCACAAACCTCTCCTCCCTCCCCATCCACCCCACCCCACAAACCTCTCCCTCCACATACACCACCCCACAAACCTCTCCCTCCACATACACCCCCCCACAAACCTCTCCTCCCTCCCTCCCCATCCACCCCACTCCACAAACCTCTCTCTCCCCACATACCCCCCCACAAACCTCTCCTCCCTCCCTCCCCATCCACCCCACTCCACAAACCTCTCTCTCCACATACACCCCCCCACAAACCTCTTCCTCCACATACACTACCCCCACAAACCTCTCCCTCCCCACATACACCACCCCACAACCTCTCCCCACATACACCACCCCACAAACCTCTCTCTCCACATACACCCCCCCACAAACCTCTCCTCCCTCCCCATCCACCCCACTCCACAAACCTCTCTCTCCCCACCGCACACACCTCTCCCCCCCCCCCTCCACATACACCCCCCTACCTCTCCCCCCACCACCACTGCCGGTGCCTCTCCCAAGCCGCTGCGAGGAGGCCTCCCTCCTGCCTCAAACCGGTTTGGCAGCGCATGGTGCAAAAAGTTGCTTCGAACTTTGCTTCAAACTTGCTTCGTGGACAGGGAGGGGAAAGTTGTTTGCAAAGGTCGGCGCGCTCCCCCTCGCAGCGGGGAATTTCTGAACAGTTTGCCTCTGCTTCGAGGTTTTTTTTTAGCCCATTTGCAGATGTGTGTGTGTGTTTTTGTTTATCCTCTTGTTCGATTGCATATTTTAATGAAAGTTTAAAGCAATGGAATTGTGTGTGAGAGAGTGTAGTGGAGCGGTAGTGTAGCGGTTAGCACTACGCTGCGCTACAAACCCGGCGACCCGAGTTCCATTCCCCCGCTCACGGCCTCAAATGAGTAGCTGGTGCGGTGTGTAAACATCGCCACAAGGGAGACAAAGGCGGCCGGGCGTGGTGCTGGCCACCCACCCCCTCGTATGCCGTGCCGGCCTTCATAGGTGCTCGCTAAAAGCACTTGCC